GCTCAAGTACAGCACTCATTTCACGAGCAAGCTGCTCATCTCTTGAAATTTCTGCAGCACGGGGGCTTACCCCATTTTCAGGTTGGTCCATAAAAAGTGGCTTCCGACAAGTGGGGCAAGAGTAGTTCTCAGTTAAACCATGATCTAACCTGTCAATGATATGTCATACAGAATTCGATTCTATCTCCCCACCCACACGGCGATAAACAAGCATTTTGGGAAATTATTAGAGAATATACATACCAAGATCTCAAGCATGCAAGATGAAAAAGATGATTACAAGACAGCTTCTTAGCTTTCGCCATTGGTTCCTGTCATTTCCCAATATTTAACATGCCTAAAGATGGGAAAAATTAAATTAGATGGGGAAGTAAAGGCGAGTCAAATTTACCCTACAAATAGCACACTCGTCATCATATGCTCGGAGCTCCTCATGTGTAGCATCAGGAAGTGCCCCATGAAGGGTCCCCAAAGCCATCCGCAATTTGATGAAACCTCGGGCACGTTTTATGCATGCACTTAAAAGGGCCTAAGCGCAAAAAAGTGTGAATATAAGTAACATAACAGACTAACAGTATGGCAACGCAGAACCTGAAACATTAACAACTGTAACAAAAAGATCAAGCAGGATAGAAAAAATTATAATTGCTGTAGCAATTAGAAAGAAACATTTACCCGAATGTTCAGGAAAAGGACAGCATCCACAAGATGAAATGCCATGCCATGGAGCAACCAAATATGAAGATAATGAGCAATGGCCATCAACAGTGTCATCATGTCCAGGAAAAACCCCAAATTCCGAATAAGGATGCCTTTCCATTCCCACAACGAACCTATAGAATAGCGCTACCTTAGAACATAATCACTGAATAATACAAGCTCTCTTATCGGTATAAATTTCAATTCATAACAAGGGTGGGTCCCAAAAAAATTCATAGAAGACTTGTGAAAAAGTATTTTTTCCACGAGGAAAAGAAAATATGAATGAGAAAACGTGGAACAGTCATAACATCAGGCATTGTCACTTTAACATAGGAATTAAGGTTTAATTTATAATTTGGGTTAACCATTTTGCACCAAATGGAATAAAATTGACCATGTAATTACTCCCAAAGCCTACAACTCAAGTCACCTGCCAAAATGACTGCACATTAACCACGTAAATAAAAGCATACTCTGAATTGTGAAAGTAAAACTTATTACAATTCATTCAAAGACCTTAGAAGTCTTAAAGAAGAATAAGATCAAAACCACAATTATGTTAGGATTATGGATTTTTCCTAATTTGGCATCATTTGAAGAAAGCTAAACCATCACAGAAATTGCGTTGGCTTTTTTTAAATAAATCTCACATTTTGATAAGCAACATGCTTTCACTATTAGATCAACCAAGATTCATGCTAAAATGTGAGATACCTTGTCTATCTCTAAGATGCTCAGACTCTTTATTTTGGATTGTGTACCTATGTCGAGACAATACGACACAGGTATGGATATTGGGTGTGGATTTGCGTTTGATACTTCAATTTAGAAGTGGACATAGCACAGAAATCGAAGAAAGATCACCAAGGGAGGAAGCAAAGTTTAAAGGAAAACGAAGAGGAGGCTCAATATTTTTAAAGCAATAAAATTGATTCTGAGGCATAAAACCAAGATGTTGAAGGCATGAAGAATTGGTATTGCTCGCTATTGAGCAAAAAAGTGATACAATGCAAACAGAAGAGGTAGCCTTCTTTGACGCAATAGGGCGTCTTCGGGCTCTTGAGAAGTGACGATCGGCTGATGTCATTAGCTCTCTTGAAATAACAGCAATGGAGTGATCGCTGACCAGCTTATGACATTTATGAAATGTGGCCTATACATGGCCAGTGGAAAAGGGGATCGAGATTTTTCATCAATCAAAAGTGAGGGCTTTCCCTTATAAAATAGTTTCTAGTAAGTACTTGCTAAGCCCATTTAATTCTACACTCCCTAAAAAATACATCTAAAATTATTAGCATATATAGTTTAAAATATTTTATGTTTGGAAGACATACCCACGTTTAATTTTTGGATCTTTTTTAGCCATGTACCAGTATACCAAGTTTTAGAAGAAAAAATATCCTACTCGTAGATATGTACCCGAACCCGACAACCGTACCCAAGTCCAAGATATATAGGTCTATCTAATTAAAACATATCATGCTTTACTGAGACAAATTTGTTTGCAAAGAAACAACACTCTTAAATCAGATAAAAAAATATCAACACCAAAGTTGGTAAAAAGTCTACGATGACAACAGAACAATGGATTATGAAATCTGCAAAAAAAGGAAAAAAAACCCAAAAAAACAAAACAAAACAATAACAGACAGGTACAAACGAAGACTAAGACCCACCTGCAGGGGATATATTGAAGATTTTAGATAACCGGAAATTCGCAATATCTCGTGCAGAGTGATGCACCCATATCTCAAGCAACTGAAAACCATGAACCACCAGGGCCTATAGATAAAAATTAGAAAACAGTCAACAAATTCATGATTTCTATTCAGTAACGCCATAAATTCTACTAATCGACCTGAATGCTACCTGTAGCGTCTCGAAAGCAATGCTAGAAGGCTCAAAAAATAACAACAAAGACACTGATGAACTTGTTGCACTGTATATGGTAAAACATAGCCACATCCTACAATAACACGTCAAATTTAGTTTAAGACACTTCAGACAACAACACCAACAAGCAAAAATATAGTCATATGAACGTTAATTTGAAATGGTTAATGGTAATATAATATTGTATATGAATAACTTTATCCAAAATTTAAATAACATTAATTGCCAGAAATTAGGGAAATCAGTAGGTGACATACTAAACAAGTATGGTACAGATTATTAATTAATGTAGCTCTTTGCACCAATCACAAAAACTGGTACTGACTCATTCTAATAAATGTCCGTATGGCAGCATTATGTTAATTGTTCTATCATTTACCTTGATATCACAAAGCAACAATCTATATAAAAACATAAAAATAGTCTCTCTCTCTCTCTCTTCCGTAGGATTAAGGTGTAAAATGAGTTACGATTCACTGCAAATCTGGAGCATAGCACAATCAAGCGTCTAACATGAGGAGTGCAAATACAACGCCCAGCAATAAAATGAGGGATCTTGAAGGCATCAGGCAAACCAAAGGAGCGTCATTAGCTAGGTGGGAAATGTAGGAAGCACTCCACCCACAAAAGAACGAAAGGAAGAAAAAGAACATGCAGGCAGGTTTAGCTTTAAATGGTCTACTTATAGCGTTATTGAAAATTTTCCTAGGCATTACTGGTTCTCATGGCGTTGACAGGTCCAAAGAAGGCTCAAAAATGACTCCCAGGAGGACAAGCCTTCATTCTTCCTTGAAAACCATGGAACAGCAACACCAGGGATATCAGACCACTGACCCATTGCCTCCAGGGTATTAACATACAATATAACTCTTTTGTGCAATAAATAATTACCAATTTTTCCAATAAGGTAAACATATGTGAAGAAGACATCAAAGGGTGAAATCCTCTTCGAACATGAAACATTTTTGTTTTTGACTATTTGGACTAACTTATAATCCTCAATAGTTGCTTGAGTAGCAGATACAATCAAAAATATTACGGCTCCAGCACACATTCTTATTCTTCAGCTTAGGATCAAAGTGGATTTCAAGCCATACATGCAATAGAAAAGGTATTGTAAAATACCAGAGCAAGTCAACAGAGAAAACCAGCAACAGTGCAGAATATACACGGAAGTATGTCCATGGAGTTGCAGAAGGAGAAGCATTCAAGCGCTCAAGTCGATCCCTAGCTAAGGCTTGAAACATCTGTGCAATAAGCAGATGTTATTTCATAATAAGCTATCCCATGCATCCAACAATGTCAACTGCTTTGTATATTTTTGTGAGTAGTTGAATACCTTTAAGAAACAAACCACACCCAACCAAGTTGACCACAAGCCTATTTGAAATATTGTTGGCGGAACCACTAACGGAAGAAATATTCCCTGCGTCCACTCATTAATCAGTCACAAACAGAGAGAGAGACATGTATAATTTGTTTCTTTTTTTTCTTCATATACTTCAATCAATTTAGCATGGCATTGAATGTATTTCCATTTTACTTGTAACCAAAAAAAAAAACCAAACATGCATGCATAAACACACCAATCCCGCCAAAGCTCTCTCCCCCACCCCAACAACCCAATCCCGCCAAAATATGTAGATGCTCCTACATTTGCCATGACAAAGGCACTCACCCACCCCACCCAAAGAAAAAAAAAAAANNAAAAAAAAAAAATTGGTAATCCTCTGAAAACAGAAGTATTCACCAAGATCTCATCTACTTCTAAAAACTTCTGACACAATCATCAAGTTTGCAGGTTCATATGACCTTAATATATCGCAACAACTAAAGTCTATTTTAAATCAACAACAAATGATGCTGGCTATTCAAGTGTATACTAATGTTTGCATTGATATTCAATATATATATATATGACACTTGTTAAAATTGTTTGTATAGAGAGACCTTGTTAGTTTCTGAATAACAAATGATGATTGTTCAAAATTAAAACAAGGAAGAATGAATAGAATAAAAATAAAATAAAAGAACATTGTGTCACCATAAAATATCAGTAACCAAAGGTTGTCAACAAACCATTTTTCAAGTAATCAAAGCCATACATGACAATATAAAGAAAAAGAACATTCTTCCAGTTTTCACAGGCTACTTTTGTCCACTAGTGGCTTGTCAAAAATATGACCCGGAAGATGGTATCCTCAATTACACCAGAGCACAATTATAGCTGCTGTGACATTTTCATTTTGATTCAATTACAAAATCCTACAGGAATCACAATGTGGGTGCAGAAATTTCATAGCTCGCTACAATTTACAAACCTCAAATGAACTCCAGAACTCATAATTCATGTCTGACAAAGAATTGAAAACACCTTTTATATTATTATTTCTCAATCCTTGGTTGACCAAGTAACATTCTATTGCAATTCTACTGAAAGTTTAACAAACATCATATCAATCATCCCCATTAGTAACATGATTTCTCACTACTTTCCCAAGGAAATAAGAGAAATAATTGAAGCCAAGTTTGACCAAAAATATCTTACAATCATAGCCAGATAGTTGTCAGCTCAAAAAATAAAAACAGGGGCATAAAGACATAAACTTAAATGAGGTCTCTATCACCATCATTAAGTACAAGAAAAAACTAAAGTAAATAAAACTCGAAAAATTAAAATGCAACAAAAAATGAACAGAAATCAGAATATAGTGATGTCTTACCTTGTAGATGATGTAGTTAATGAGGCGCTCTAATAATTTTCGAATTTCAGAAGAGTACAACTCCGAAAAGAATATCATCTGCATAAAAGGACCACAAAGGCCATGGAAACATCACTTTACATGCATTGTATATATCAGTAATATTTAAAGCCCTTCGAAATAAATTCAATAGGAACTTGTGTACTAAACTTTATTCGCTCTTGTCATGCCAGTCGCTACTCTATATTATTCTTAAAAGTCCCATTCATATTTCAAATTATGACTGATTAAAACCTATAAATTATGCCTCCAATAAGCCTTAACATGCTTGAGTACAATAGCTGGCATATTTGCCACAAGAAAAAGGAAACACTACAAACTAGTTTCTCTTGTAACCCCAAGTTAGATTGGCATTGATCAATCCATTTTCTCTCTGTTGTGACAAACATGATCATGATCCCTATTTGACATGCCAATGCAAATAGATGGTTAGATTTTGATAAGAATTAAACAATGCATGATTACAACTATGATGCTCGGACTTGGATACGAGTATGGGTACGGGTATGTATCTAAATGTTGAACCTTTTATTTTCTAAAATTGAGGATACGGGGCATAACTAAAAAGAGTCAAAAATTTGGAAACGAGTACATGGGTACGTCTTTTAAATTTCAATTTTTTTACTAACTCAGTATTTAATTTTGAATAGACCAAAATCAATTGTTTACAAAGAATGATTTATTTTACAATTGAAAACATTTAAGGGGCAAAGACGAATAAAATAGGATTTTGGGGTTAGTTTTCAATTATGGGAAATTAATTACTAAGCACATGTTTGAGCCCCATTTTCGGCTAAGAATGCATTTTTGGAATAGTAAATTAATGGAGAATATGTAATTAAGACCCTGTTTGATGCACATTATTGAATGGAGAATGCATTTTAAATAGTGATTTGATAAAAATGTGGTTAAAAAATAAGGAAAAATTTTGGTTTTACGTGTAATATTATTTTATTGAAAAATGTGTGGTTGAAAATGAGTTTTGAAAAAATTATTTTAGTAAGAATATGGATCAAACCGGGTGTAAAAAATAAGGAAAATTCTTGAGTTTACGTGCAATATTATTTGTTGAAGAACGTGGGGTTGAATAAAAGAGAAAAAATTGTTTTGGAAATGATGGAGATCAAACAAGGGCTAAATGTTCCATAAAATAAAAAATGAGGGACTTGATTGCAAGTTGTCCATTTCATTTTGTAAAAACAGAAGGTAGAAAGACGAAAAGGGGAAAGAAGAAAAGAAAAGGGAAAGAAAAGAAGAAAGAAGAAGAACGAAACACTAGCGCCGACCCTCTTAGCTCCTCTCTCCGGTGACCCTCTTTCTCCACCATCTCTCAGGCAACTCTAGGTGAAAAACCTAGCACCGCCACCTCAAATTGAAGCTTTGCATCAACCTAGCTCCGGATCCTATAGCTGTTGCACATCGCCATACCCGGTTGAAAACTGCCGTATCCATCCCATATTCCATACATGTATCTGTGTCGTGTCGTGTCGTGTCGAAATGGGTATGCCGGCCGGAAAGGAGAGTCCGAGCATCAGACTACAAAGAATAATGAATTGTAGGGCAGGAAAAAGTATGCATATAGCTCATGTCGGAATGCCCGTTACTGTAAAGTAAAAAAAGAAGCCGAATTTTTTTCCCTTAGGTGAGTTCATTTATTCCGGCAGCTTTATCAGATTTTCTCATAGTAANAAAATGACTTCTCAGGTCGGGGAACATACTTGTCTATAAAAATACTGTTAAGTTTTCTTCGTCTATGTTTTTTCCTTTGGTGGAGGGTGTCTATGGTAAGGTGTACATGCAGTGGAAAGCAATAACATAGGTATCTAGTGTACCATTCAAATGCTGCCACTTAATCTTGATGCGATTTGTTAATGTAAAATGTCAAGAATAAATCTAAATGTAATATTATCACGAAGACAAACTAGTAGGATAATACATATATTCAGATTATCGAGTATAATTTAGATCAGTTTCAGAATGATAATGCATTTG